TATATATATATATATATATATATATATATATATATATATATATATATATATATATATATATATATATATATATATATATATATATATATAAACGAAAACACATTTATAGTGACAACCATTTATTTAACTTAATATTTCAGCTCATACAGTTAGGGCTATTTTTGAACTGAAGATTTGTTACACAAATTTTTTATATGTAATAATGATATCATTGCTATGTAATATTATAAAATTTTTTGGTACTTAACAAAAAAAGGTTTCCAATCATGAGTCATCACTAGGTTGCCATTGTCTCGGTTTAAAATATTTTTAGGGTAGTAACAAAATTTAGTTAATTAAATTATCAGTGCTATTCAGAAACAAAATGACAAGCAAAAAGGATAATTTAGAGTATGCTTTTAAAATAGTTTGTGACTTATTTTGTATTAAGTCTTTGAAGGAAAAATCAAAAAGAATTTTTTTGCTCTCAGCAATGGCATAGATGGTTTTGTTTGCTAACCAGCAGGCAGTGAAAAATCTATTTTGTTCCAAGTTTACCCTTTTTTACTTTCACCTTAAACTTATTAAGGAAAGGACAAGCAAATTTTGGAGTTTTGATTTCAATTTTCTGTAGAAAACATGTAAAATAGTTTTTAGTGAATGCAAAATAGTTAATCATTTATTGAGAAATTTTTAATGCTAAATACATTTAACATTCATTATAATATTTTATTATTAATTCTAAATGCGTTATATATAATATTTTATTATTAATTCTAAATGCATTTATTATGAAATATCATATTGTTCTGATATTGAATTTAGACATGCCTTAAGTAAATTATTTTTTGAATTATGGAGTGTTTTTTTTTTTAAAAGTATTTACAGATTTTTTTAGATAAATTACAATGAGGCAAATGTAATATTTTGTTCACCTGAAGCCATTGTAACAACTTAGAGATCAATTGACAACGTCTCTGCCTTTAATTAGAAACTTGTTACAATTGCAGTTGATGAAAGCCATTGTGTGAAAAAGTGGTAAATGTTTTTGTTATATAAATAAATTTGCTACTTAAAGAAAACATTGATATTTACAACGTTAATGTCAGACCTTCATGTAATACATAAAATTATTTTAGAATTAAAAAATTTTGCTCATTGAAAGAAAAGATAAATACATTACCTATAGCATTATATAAGCAAAATCTTGTGATTTACATGATTTTACTTATACCTTATTTGTCTGTGATTGTTATAGGGGAAGTTCAAGCACACAATCAGATGCATAGTCTCACTATAATAGACTGTCAGAATTGCATTTGTCCCTAAAGAATTCCAGTATTGGTATTGACAGCAACTGCAACTAAAAGTACTGCTGACTTTATTATTGATAATCTTTGTATGCATAAAATGATTATTATATCATCTATACCAGAAAGAAGAAATATTAAATACAGCCTTATACATATTGACTCAAGAGATCCAGAGAAATTTTTCTATCCAGTTGTTCAAGATATTCTTTTGAATACGTATTCAGCTAAAAGAACTTTAGTCTTTTCTACAACTATGACTGATGTAAAATCTACTAAACTACTTTGTGATGCAGCTCGCGCCATTTTAAAACCATTAATTTTTATAATAATTTAATCTTTAAAATCTGCTATAATACCAACTTATTGGAAAGTTGGCAGAATGCATCCATTGTTTAATTTTGGTCAATTTTTTATCATTGATAGTAACCGACCAATATCTGTCTTATCAGCGTGTTTCAAAGATCATAAACAATTAAATGATTATATTGAGTAACACAATCATAAAAATATAGTAACCATAAAATAATCTCTAAATCTCAAGAAACAATTTGTTTTTTGGAAAGGTAAGTCTACTGAAATTGCAGTAACTTTACTTACAGATAAATTATGTAAATTAATCAATAATGGTTGGGGCAGTATTTGTTAGCCTGTCAAAAGCATTTTTCATTCTGTTTTGTTATACTAACTAGTATTTTATGGTTTTAAACATTCTAAACTTAACTGGTTCACTGACTTTCTTTCTAACAGATATCAATCTTTAATATTGATCAATAAATCATCTGGTGTTGAGCCAGTAACATGTGGTGTACCACAAGGTTTAATTCTTAGGCCCCTTTTATTTATTATACACATAAATGAATTACAAAAATGTCTAAACCAATCAGAAGTTATTAAATACGCAGATGTCATAATTTTTATTTGTAATTTGTAAAACGTGCAGACAACATTCAATATAAATTAACCGAAGATCTAAACAAGTTATCAAATTGCTTACTAAATAATGAATTGGTAATAAATCTTAAAAAAGTTAAAACAAAGGCAGCAAAAAGATTGTACACATTAGTTAAAAGAGTTTTGTGTACTTCCAAAACTATTTTTAAAATAATTTTAGAAGTTAAATAATTTAACTTCTGATTGATAGCAGTTGAGTATATTTATATATTTACTGAAAATGGCAAATTTCTGTGTAGATATATAAAAAATTCTGAATAGAAAATAGCATTGTCCTGAGAATTTAAGTGTCAGAAAAGATTTTGCTTTAATAAAAAAGCTCTTTTAACTTTTTTCAAAGTTAAAAAAGCTTGCAAAAAGCAAGCAAAACTTTTCAATCTGCACCGGTTTTTATTGTGTAGGTCGTATTAACTGAACAAGATCCTTCAACAATTTATGTGGAGTTATATTATTTATTATCATATACCATTATTTGGTAATGCTTATCACTTTAATTGCAACTCTATTACCTTTATCAAATGAGTATATTTTTAAATAAGCAGAATTCTAAAACTTTGAGAAATTTTGCTTTTTATTTAAAAATTTAGTATCTAACTTATTTTTTCATAATAATATAATGCATTAATGTATAACAATAAAAATAATAATAATAATAGTAATAATATATATATATATATATATATATATATATATATATATATATATATATATATATATATATATATATATATATATATATATATATATATATATATATATATATATATGTAGATATATATATACATATATATATATATCTACATATACATATATATATATATATATATATATATATATATATATATATATATATATATATATATATATATATATATATATATATATAGAGAGAGAGAGAGAGAGAGAGAGAGAGAGAGAGAGAGCGAGAGAGAGAGAGAGATTGGGGACCTTATGAGAGTTTCTTCAAAGTAAAGAAGAAAGTTAAATGCCCAAGAAATTAGTTGACTGAAAACTTAAAAAGGTTTAAACAATAACTAACACAACATAGAGAAAAAATTTATAAGTAGTGATGTTTAAAGAAAAAACTAGATTCTAGTTTTTTAAAAAGAAAAAATACTTTTAAACATTTTATGACCATGTGTTAATAGCTTAAGGCTGAATACTAGAGTAGATCCAACTACATTTAAAATGCTTAATTAGATCTTACCTAAATGAAAAAGCATCATTAGAAAAACCAGCCCAAATTTAAGAATCTACAAATAGAAACTTGTAATAATTGCAGTATTAAATTTAAAATTACTAATTGCAGTATTAAACTCCTTACAGGTAGTTTATGAAAATCCCGGAAATTTTTTTTCTATGATAATCACGGAAACTCCCGGAAAATAATTTTATTAAAAATTGATCAAAATTAACTGACAAACGGAATTTAGATTATTTTCAAATGGATTTTAGATTATTTAACTTTTTACAAAAAGGAATTTCTAATATATGAAAAAGTTTGAATGAATTGAAAAGCAAAAAAAAAAAAGAAAAAAAATTGTTACAAAAATTGATCTCGTGAGAATTTAAATTATAGAAAACATATTTGTTTAAATGCAAAAGTTGTCAAAAAATTTTATGTAAAAATATATTAATTTTTTTTCAAATTAATTACAAAAAACATCCGGAAATTTCTGGAAAACTAAAGGTGTTTTAAATGAATTCTGGGAACTCATTTAAAACACCTTTATCTATGTATAATATAACATAAAAAATGGCAAACGGCCATGACCAAGTTGTCTAAAATAAAATACTCATGTGTGGACATACAAGATGAAAAACCGCATGTGTTTCCTGGAAAAGCTTGAATACACAACATGAAGAGAGCTTATGGGAAAGACAACCATGTCAAATTTAGTTGAATAATAAACATGGAATGCCCCATTGTTAAGAGCAACAGTCTTATGTTAAGGCCTTGCCTTATTGCTTCCATCTAATAAATGAAACTTTCTATTGGTTAACAGATAAACAACCTCCAGAACAGAAAGTTTATTGTTTTTGCAAATAGTTTTGCCTTATTCATGGGAAACGTGATCAGACCTATATATATATATATATATATATATATATATATATATATATATATATATATATATATATATATATATATATATATATATATATATATATATATATATATATATATATATATATATATATATATATATATATATATATATATATATATATATATATATATATATATATATATATATATATATATGAAAAGAGTTTAAGACTTTCTTAATAGCACAATTTTTAAGTCTCTGGAAGTTTCAATAATAAAATTTACAATGCTTTAGTCAATACTTTATTGTATCTTTTACTCCATTTGTATTGTATCTTTTACTCCATGATAAAAACATGTCCTCAGGAGATTGATTATGGTGAAAATGATAAAAGAAACAAGAAGCTGCATGAAAAAAACTGCAGAATAAGACTAAAAGAGAAAAGTTAAAAAAAAACTAGTATTGAATGGAAATTTCATACAACTTCCTATGAACCTTAATAATATTTCTCTTTTTAACCCAAAAATATACTTTAGGTAAAGTGAAAGGAATAATATATTTGAGAGTATTAATATATTTATAATCAAATTTTAAATGTTTCCTTAAATATTTCCCTTCTACTTAAAAACACTGTGTTACTTAATGAAAAAAACACTCAAAATCTTCTGTTTTAGACCAACATCTTTGTAACCTTTGTATATCTTACCTTGAGTATAAATTGCTAAAAATTATTATGTAAATTCCTGGTTTGTCAACTGGCATTCTTCCATGAATGATTTGTCTGTGTGAACAGTAACGTGACAATGGTATAACAGTCTGTAAAATATAAACAAAGTAACAAAGTAAATAATAATAAAAAATATATATCTTATTTATAGAAAAAAAGCTAAATATATAAACTCATACTATTTTACATTATAAGTAAAACTTGTAATACTTTATACTATTATTGACATGTTTTATGCAGATGTTTAAAAAAAATACAACAACAACAACAACAGTTATTATGTATTTAAAAAAAAAGAAGTAAAAAAGCACATTTTGTTTCCGTAGCAAATTTTTTTATATCAGAATAGTATCTGCATAAACCCAACTATCAGTCAATGTATGTAGATTCATACAAGGCTATGAGCGCAAAGATATATATATATATATATATATATATATATATATATATACATATATATATATATATATATATATATATATATATATATATATATATATATATATATACATATATATATATATATATACATATATTTATATATATACATATATATATATACATATATATATATATAGACATATAAATATATATATATATATATATATATATATATATATATATATATATATATATATATATTCACATATATATTTTTTTCTTTTACTTTTTTATTTACCACCCAAAGGCTGAGAGGGCCACTACAATCAAGGAAGCTTTTTTTATTGTAGTAAAAAACCTTATCTTAAGTTTTTAAAAAATACTATTAAAAAATCATTGAAAATACAAATAGCAATGAAGATAGTCCTGGCATCAAATAATATAGAGAAAAGATCATCAACATTAAATTGCGAATAAAAGAATTAAAGAGGAATATGTTTCTGCACTTTGAAAATCTTTTTATATAAAAAGTTGATTTCTTTATAAATTAGGAATTCATAATTTTTATTGAGACATAATTTACAAAATTTAGTTGATATATTGCATGTTTTGCACAATTTTCCACTTAACTATGGAATTTAAATTAACTTCTATCAACTTTCATACCTGCTTAGACAGATCACTATTGTTTTTGTATTTATAGATGTTAAAAGATTTAACATAGCTAGCATATTTTAATTCAAAAGAAGTCTCAATTATGCCAATGTAACATTTTTTATATTGGAACAAATAGTTATTGGAACAAAAATTTTATATTTTTACATTATTCATTTATCTTATAAAATGCCTAAAAAGTGTTGTGTAGTTGCTTGCAGAAATGGTTACAAAAAGAAAAAAATGGCAATACTGAAGAGGATTTTATAATTAAAACATTCAATTTTCCCTCAGACTAAGATTTATGCTCCTGGTGGATCAAGTAAACAAAATTAATTGAAAACCATCTAAATTCTCTGGAATATGTTTTAATCATTTTCAATAAAAATTTATAGTTTAACTAATAAATTTGTTTAAATTAAATTAGGCAAACAAAATACACTTTACAAAGATTGAATTGCAAAGATTCATTTCATCCAATAATTCATACAAATGAAGATTGTTTTTTAAAGCCATCATTACTTTCTCCTTCATCTTTACTTCCTACACCTTCAACTTTAAGAAAGATTCCTACAAATAGACCTTATTCTCATTCATTGCTAGATAAAAAGGTGGCTTTCAAAAAACAAGATAAGTTTGTTTAATAAATGACTTGACAGAACAAATTTGTGCTTAAAATTTATTATTTATTTTTATTATTATTTAAAATATTATAGTGTTATTGAAAATATAATATCATCAACTGACATTAAAAGCATCAATTTTGATATTAATCTGCATATAAAATTATACCATAAAGGATACTCTAATACCTCTTCCCCAATAGATTTGTTAAAACAATAAGTGTACACTGAAAAGTGTAACCATGTTAGAAAGTTTAGTTTCTTATATGAGAAATCGGGTTGAAGAAAACGAAAAAATCATTTTAAGTGAACTTTATAGTTTTGTATTATGAATCACATGGCAGAGAGTTATACAGTAATGAACTTATTCGGTTTGTTTTTAGTTTATGATATATCTCTAGACAAGCCTACAACTTGATATAGATGAATTTTATTTTATTTTCATATTTAATAGCATTAACTCAATTGAAGCAGTAAAAGATAAAAAGAAAAAAAAAAAAAAAGGTTAAGTTTTATTAATTGATGAAACTTGCAAAAAAGTGTTCAAAATCATGGTGGTAAATATGTTAGAAAAAATGAGAACAGAGAATTTTGTTTAAGAGTTGTAGTTTTTATGTTAGTTGGTATTAAATCGCATGTTATGCAGATGGGGTCCTACATCTGCAAAAACAAAAAATTTGAGTTAATTTTATAACCACATTCTATATACTGAAATTAATTATCTTTTTAAATATTAGATCAATTTGGTCCTAAAAATAAACAAAGAAAATGTTGATTTTTGTTGATGCGCAACTAAGGGTAGTTTAAATCAAATATTCTAT